TGTGGGGGGGGGGGGGGGGCTTGCCTATTAGAAAAGAAAGGGAAATCACTAGATTTGATTTTCTATTGGAGGAGACTTTGTTTAACCAAAAGTGTGTTATTCAATGCCTCGGTTAAAACATAAAATTATATTGACTTTATGCTTAACTGAATGTTTCAAGATTTAATAACAATCAATTAATCCATTCATTAAGTACTCTATGAACCTTTTAACCAAGAACTGATATCTAAGTCTACCTCACTTCTTAAAAAGAAAGATACAAAACAAAATGAAATTCTTAAAAAGAATTTATTATTTCCTAAAAAAATTAGGCTAAACCAATTTTTAACCGAATGCTAATATCAAAATCAAGCCAACATCTACCTTTTTTTTTACACAAAAGACTGAACCTTGAAAAAAAAATCAAGTTTTGAACATTGAGAATGAGGAGGACAAGTTCTTATATTTTATTTATTGTAATGATGGTATGTTTAGGTAAATACCTTGCAGCAGAGGAGGGAGCAGTTGGCAATGGGAGAGAAGGGGTTTAGTGGAGGCGAAGAGATGGGGAACGGGTATAAAGAAAAGAAACCACGCAGGACTTGATTAACAAAGTTTCCATGTAGTTTTCTTATATTACAATAATACCATTAACGTCCATTCTTTGTTTTAAGGTTTCAACATTCAGGACATGCCAGGTTTCAGCAAAGGCAAAAAACGACTGCTAGCAGGGAAAAAAAAAAATCTCAGGAGGCAGCATTAACTCAGATCTGACAGCACCAAAATCATGACTTGAGACAAATCTTGATCACTTTATAACCTTGTTTAAGTTCTCTTGGCAATCAATTTTTTAATTCGATCTCTTGTTTATTATAAATCTTTTTAAGAGTATTTGGCCAGTGGTTTTGTTTTTTTCAACTTGTTTTGTTTTCAAAGTAATTAAAGTCGCTAGATAAATTTAATACTACATTATTTATTTTTTAGGAGTGGAATGTGATTCTCTTTAAAGATATATTGGTTCCACTTAAAAAAAAAAAAAGAAGATAATAGTGCATTTTTAGACAACATGTTTTATTTAAAAAATAAAAATAACTTTAAAACATTTTTAAATCATAAAAATATCAATAGTGCACATAAAGATCTTAATTAGATTTTGTATTATTTATATTGAAAAAAGATATTTTGATTTTTATTTCGTTTTTATTTAACTTATATTATTTCAAACATTAATTCAATTTACTAATAAAAGTATTCATGTTTTCAATAATTTATTTTAATTTTTAAAAAAGTATTTGAATTTAATATGTTCGATCTCATATAATTTATTTTAATTCATGTTTTGTTTTTTTTTTTTAAAGTAGAGAAGGGGAGGTGAGGGATACGAAAAGTTTTTTCCTTCCTTTTTTTTTTTGGATAAATAGGAAGGGGGAATGAAGGAGAATAAATTTGCTTTGATTAATAGAAAAATGAATATAAGATAATAGATATTAAATGATGATAACTTTATACAACTTTCATAAATTACACTAATATAATATTTAGTTGTGTGGTTATGGTTGTAGTTATTTTTTAAAATATTTTTTGTTTAGAAATATATTAAAATAAAATTTTTTATTTTAAAAATTTTATTTTTCTTATTAGCGCGTCAAAATAATCTAAAAATATTAAAAAAAATATTAATTTAATAAAAATAATTTAAATAATTTAAAGACACTTTTAAAACCTAAAAACAAATAATGTTTAAAGCCAAAATGTGTATATGCCCATATGACAAATCAACTATTAGGGATGGGTGCCATCCTAACCACTCTAATTGTCACGGGGTTAAATTTTTCGTAACGAAATTCAACCCAATGCGGCAGTCTAGTCCCAACTAAACTCAGTCTTGCCTCCCCTTTTCGCTCGTGTTTCCTACGACTATGTGTTTCGCTCACCCAACGAAGTTCCCACAATTGTCAAGTCGTATAAAAGGAACAAACACAAGCAAGCACACAAGTTTACAAGAATAACTCTCAACCTTTATTTATCTCATCAACAAAGGATTACACAATACAAGTGTGTGTGCTATGCACAAAATCGCATGCTACACAGCAGAGGCTTGGCAGCCTATTTATAGACAAGTGTGAGTTGCTAGGCTCACCCATAATCCCTATTTTTCAGGCCATAATGGGGCACTTACTCCCCATGATCTCCATGATCTCTCATTTTCGGGGCATAGTGGAGCACTTGCTCTCCCATTAACTTAGTGGCTTACATAGTGGAGCACTTCCTTCCCCACTCAGCTGCCACTTCCCCACATTTTGCCCCAATGATACAGCCATATTCTGCCTATCCGCATGGCAGTCCCTACTGCCTATTCTGCTGCGTCAGCTGCTGACTTAGAAGGTCCATCACCTAAGCTCCCACGTCCATGCCAAGTCGCAAGCTCAACGACTCGCATAGACCATTGCACGCTGCCTGCCGAATTCGTTTCTGCCTACGCAAGGCTGCCGCTGTCCATCGCTGCCGAATTCTAGGCAATGTGCCTTCGTTGGCGCATCCCCGCGCCTAGAGCCTTAACAAACCACCCCCACTAGAAGAGTCCGACGTCCTCGTCGGAATAGATGTGAGGTAGTTTTGCACTTGATCCTCAAATTGCCACAAATCTGTGTCCTTCTCCCACGAAACCTCTTCATTCGTCTTCCATTTCACTAAGAATTCTGTCCGCCGATTCTTTTTGTGTTGGCCAAGTCGACGATGATCCATAATCTTGACGATACCATCGTCAAATTGCTTGTGAATCGTAGGAGGGGCTCGTTGCGACTTACTTCTTTTAGGATCCTCATTGTCTTCATAAAATGGCCGTAAGTAACTTACATGAAAAGTGGGATGAAGCTTCAGCCGTTCGGGCAGCTTCAATCTATAGGCAACAGCCCCAACCTTTTCAATGACTTCAAAAGGCCCATCATATCTTGGCACCAACCCTCGGTGCTTTGACGTCCCCACAATTTTCTTCCAAATTTGAGGAGTTAACTTGAGCAACACCTTGTCACCCACACTGAATTCCAGCATCCTTCGCTTTTGATTTGCATATTTGAGCATCCGCTTCCTGGCCTTTCGCAAACTATCTTGAGCTTGCTCAACCAGCTCCTGTCGCTCCATCGCAAATCTGTATGCCGCTGGACTCTTCCCACCAGATATCTGCACTGCAATCTCGGCAGGAGTTTGGGGTTGTGCCCCCAAAACCAGCTCAAATGGACTTGCTTCCGTTGCCGAGGATTTTTGAAGATTATAGCAAAACTGCGCACTATCTAGCAACTCCAACCAGTTTCGCTGCATTGCTGTCACGTAGTGTCTCAAATATTCCTCTAGCAAAGCATTTATCCTTTCCGTCTGCCCATCAGTCTGCGGATGGTTGGCAGTCGAAAACTTCAGCCTTGTTCCCATCATGTTGAACAATGCTGTCCAGAATCTACCCGTGAATCGCACATCGCGATCGCTTACAATGTCTGAGGGTACTCCAAAGTATTTCACCACGTTGCGGTAGAATAAGTCAGCGGCCACTTCGGCTGTACACACCACAGGGGCAGCTACAAACACCGCATACTTGGTGAATCTGTCCACGACAACCATGATCGTGTTCATGCCATCCACCTTTGGAAAGCCAACAATGAAGTCCATCGAAACTGACACCCAAGGCTTCTCTGGAATCGGCAGCGGCTGTAATAAGCCTGCTTCTCGCTGCCGCAAAGTCTTGTCTTGTTGGCACACAAGACAAGTCCTGACGTAAAGTTCTACATCGTCTTCCATCTTCGGCCAATAATAAGTCTGCGACAAGAGAGCAACCATCCTTTCTCTACCTGGATGTCCTGCCCATTGCGGATCATGAGTCTCCGTCATTAAGTGTTTTCGCAGCTCCCCCTTTGGCACAAAGATTCGACCCCCCTTTGCATAGAGTAGGTCTTGTTCCAGCCAATACCTCCGTATTGTCCCTTCTCGTACAAGCTCAACCATTTTCTTGTACGCTGCATCTTCCCCAGCAGCTAGACGAAGTCGTCCCAGCATGTCCGACTCCACCTGAACAATAGCAAGAACAGTAGCAATTACCTCGCGTCTGCTGAGTGCATCCGCAACCTGATTATGGCTCCCCGGTTTGTGCTCCCATACAAAGTCATATTCGGCCAAGAATTCCTGCCACCGAGCCTGTCTCTGTGACAATTTCTTCTGTGTCCTGAAAAATGTGTTCGCCACATTATCAGTCTTGACCACAAATTTTGGCCCCAACAGATATACTCTCCATATGCCTAGGCAGTGCACCACTGCCGTCATCTCTTTCTCATGCGTCGAGTAATTCTGTTCCGCATCAGTTAGCTTCCGACTCTCAAAAGCAACTGGATGTCCCTCTTGTACTAGCACTCCCCCAATGGCCCTATCCGAAGCATCCGTATGCACTTCAAATGGCTTCTCAAAATCAGGCAGCCCCAAAACTGGAGCTGACGCTACCGCTGTTTTCAGCTTCTCAAAAGCTAGTTGGCAGTCAATCGTCCATTCCCAACTCCGATTCTTCTTCAGAAGATCCGAGAGAGGAGTTGTTTTCTTGCTATAGCCCTCAATGAATCGTCTGTAGTAGTTTGCAAGCCCCAAAAATGACCTCAATTCCGGGACTGATTTTGGTGCTGTCCATTCAACGATGGCTTGAATCTTCCGTGGATCCATCTTCACCTGTCCTTCGCCAATTAAATGGCCTAAGAACATAATTTCATCTCTTGCAAACTCACACTTTTCCCTCTTTACATACAATTCATGTTCTCTCAATCTACTTAAGACTTTAGAGAGATGAGTTACATGTTCTTCAATGCTTCTACTATAGATTACAATGTCATCTAAGTAGACTACAACAAAATTATCTAAGAAATCATATAGCACATCATTCATTAGATTACAAAATGTTGCTGGAGCATTTGTTAGGCCAAATGGCATAACTAGAAACTCGTATGAGCCATACCTCGTCACACAAGTAGTTTTATGCTCATCCCCATCAGCAACCCGCACTTGCCAATACCCCGACCGCAAGTCCAATTTCGTGAAGATAGAGGCTCCGCACAATCTATCCATCAAATCCTGAATTAAAGGGACAGGATATTTGTTTTTGATTGTTACCTTATTGAGTGCTCGGTAGTCCACACACATGCGAAGGCTTCCATCCGCCTTCTTTTGAAACAGCACAGGAGCACCATATGGAGCCTTGGAAGGGCGGATAAATCCCGAGTCAATCAGCTCTTCCAATTGTTTCCTCAGTTCTGCCAATTCCATTGGCGACATTCAATAAGAGGCTTGAGATGGTGGCTTTGTCCGCGGCACCAACTCAATTCAATGGTCGATGTTTCTCCTAGGTGGGAGTTTCTTCGGTAGCTGAGGCGGCGTCACATCTTCGAATTGCTGCAGCATGCTAGCAATTTCGTTTGGCACCTCCCCACAATAGTCTGCCTTCTCATCAACTATTGTCGCAAGAAACACTTTCCCTCCTTTCCGCAATGCTTTGTCAATAGCAATTGTTGAGACCAAGCTCTTCCCCCTTTTCACTACTTTCACAACTGCGAGATTGCAACATGGGACGAAACATGGGCAGCCCTCACTTGCAATCATGACTCCATTGAGATATGGCATCAAAACTATCTTGGCTTTTCGTAAGAAATCTAGACCAAGAATAATATCGTAATCGTCAAGATTTACGACCAACACATCATGCTTACCTCTCCACTGATCCAGTATTATCGGCACATCATAAGACATCCCAGCAATTCTCTGTGCCTTCGAGTTTACTGCCTTCATGGATGTATGGCTATCACTCAGCCGCAAGCCAAGTTCCTTCACCAGC